CCTTCAAAACGTCAATCTCGGCCCTAATACCGGTAATGATTTCAGGAACACTTGATTTACTGAAGTGGCGATCGATAGCCTTTCGCAATTCGCCACTGATGAGCATTGGTTCGTCATGAGGCAGTCCAGTGCAGTATTCCTCAATAGTGCTATTGATCAATTGTGCTCGCTGCGCCAAAGTTTCGAAATCCTTAAACCGTAATTCCGCCAAACGTTTCTCTAGAGCCGGTAAAGAAGTCGAATGAATGTAGTGTGTTGCGATTCCAGAATAAAATGCGTTAACACCCTTCAATCGGTCACTAGTCAAGGCAAGGTATGTTCCAACAGACCCCGCCATCCTGGGTAGAAAGAATGAAGCTCCAACATCGGGGAAGAATCCAATTGTAGTTTCTGGCATAGCAAACAGCGTCCTCTCAGTGGCTATTCGAAATGGTGCATGTATACTCAATCCCACTCCACCACCCATTGTAATACCGTCCATGAAAGCAACATAGGGTTTCTGGTAAGTTGCAATAAGGTGATCGAGTTTATATTCGAGAGCAAAGTAATCTGTTGATCGAGCTTGTCCTTCTTCGCCTTTTGTGTTATCCTCAGCGAGCGCTGCCACATCTCCACCAGCGCAGAAGGCCTTGGGTCCAGATCCTTTGATAATGATCACATTCGCCATGTCCGATTTTGACCATTCTTGTAATCTCGGCACGATTTTTCGAATCATCGATCCATTGAGGGAATGTAACTTTTGGGGTCTGTTGAGCTCAATCGTCCTCACGCCATATAAAGAATTGAATAGAACGTCTTCCTTCTCGTCACTTTCCAGCTCCTTGATGAATTCTGCCTGAGCGTATGAAGGGGTATCTGAGGCTGTCGCCATCTATATCGAACATTAGCATTCACTTATAAACAATCAAAAAATTCCCCAAACCTGTGCTCTCCCCGCGAATGCAGGATTGATAACCTTAGCTCTCAAAGGCATAGTCGGAAACCTCGAGCCACAAGAGCGAACTGCCGCTCCAGCTCTACCGCCCAAATATGTTCCGAACATCAAGAAAGAAGGGATACACTGGACTTTAAAGGATTGCGGAGAAAGATAAAGTTCTCAGAACCTCGGAAGTAAAGTCTCATCGGTTATTTTTGTCCCCGCGCAAAATACAGCCGGGCAGATTTAAGGTTGTACGCTAAGCTATTCTTGGAGCTCGCGACCGTGATGGGAATTTTTGGTGCCTGGAAACTTTGACGACTTAGATAATTGATTGAGTTGCTGGTTAATCAATCTACCACATTAACATTTCAATCATGGCAGATGCAGCAAAGATACAGTAGGAATCCTACCCGTCTCGAAATTGTGTCTTCCAAATACTAATTGTTTATACAGAGAACTTCTCGCCAAGCCTCGCAATGAGCTCACGTATGTCTAGCACCTCCCTCCTAATCATCCCCCCAACTTATCATTCTAACCTTCATCAGCGAGTTCGAGGTTGCGCAAATCGAAGAGCATGAATTCACATCCGGGCCCCTCTCTCTTCTTCAAGCTGCTGTCCGTTCGCATGGACAGGTATTGATTTCCTGCCGTAACAACCGAAAATTACTTGCGCGCGTCAAGGCTTTCGATCGACATTGCAATATGGTGTTGGAGAACGTCAAGGAGATGTGGACCGAGACTCCACGATTGAGTGGTGGTGGAAAGGGAAGACCAGTAAACAAGGATAGATTCATCAGTAAGATGTGAGTATTCCATATTTTTGTCACTTTGACCTCAGGCGGACGGTGAGATCAGGATCAGACGGGGAAACGCAAAAGAGAGCATGAAAAACTCTACACATCAGGTGATTAGAGTATTGGGAGAACGTCGCTAACATATATCGATTTTCCAGGTTCTTGAGAGGAGATTCCGTCATTTTAGTCCTCCTAAGCTGAACGGTCGACATTCGCAACTTATGATATATGGATGGATAGAAGAGGGGACCAGCTAAGGATCGATATCTGAATATTAGCAACACCGGACAGGATCTGTGGAGGAAACAAATGTAATAGCATAGGGCGTTGTCAATACCAACGCATACCAAATCAGCTTATAGCTATGAATTCACAGGACGCATGAGAAATTTCATGCCAAATAGGGAACCAGATTTTATGGAGAATAGGAATGTTAGTCGAGAAAGAAACTCTCTTTAAATTTCAGATGGACTATATTGCTGGTGACTTGATTTTGTGACAAGAATATGACGAGTCAGTATTTTTTAAAAGGTTAGCCTACTTGATTTTCTATTCTACTTGCTTTCCCATCTCAGCATTGTGATGAACAAATCACAGCTTTTTAACCCTTAATGGTACCTACATACCTTGAAGACCAAAAAACAACAACTCTAATTTTTTCCTGAATGCTTTTGAAATCTTACTACCCGTCACAAAACCACATGACGCCTGAATCAAACTGACATTTCAAGTACCTACAGACTACTCTCGAGATTATAAGTTCCATGTTACATGTTCATTGATCGCTACATCACTAGCAAGGCAGAAATCTCTCCTTTGGAATTTTAAACAGACCGATCGCGAAGTTAGAGCTTTATCGTCCATATTCATTAAGTGCTACGCTACTAATAAACAGTAAAGTTCTCATTATTCAAACCAATTCATAATCCGAATCTCCAAGCCCAGCGAGTCCCAAGAAGAACTCACTCAAACCCCATGCACCTGGATCCGGAACCTGTTCGAAACCAGTGCCTCCAATATACACAGTTCTTCCTAAACTAGCTTTCATTCCCTTTGTGCCCTCGGCGCCTTTCCTGGATGCTTCAGCTGCTTTCTTGATATCTCCCGTTTTATTTAGTGTCTCAACAAATGGATGTAAGGCATCTACCAAAGTGCGATCTCCAGGTTTCGCTGGTGTGTATCTTGAAAGAGCTTCAGACGCGGAATGTAATGCCTTTGCCCAGACTTCTGGAGTTGCTTGTCCAGTAGAAGCATTTTCGCGGAGAGCAGCCAAAAGAGAATTTAGGAAGATGGCATATAGGGCCCCAGAAGTGCCATCCATGGTATTTTCAACCACTTGAACAATTCTTGCAAGATCGACAACAGCATCGCCGGATAGCTTCTCCTTCGAGATCGTTGATAACACAGCTGTACAGTTTGTTAGCTCGTAATAGATTCGCGAAATTGGCGCACTTACATTCAGCTCCCCTCTTTAGACCAATACCGCAATCTCCATCCCCAACTACTGTGTCAAATCGAGTAACATCGGGTTCTGCTGCAATAATTCTCTCGAGTCCAGCGGTCAAAGCTGTCTTTGTTGTTTCTGGGTCTAATTTCAATCCACTGGGTTTAACCTCTTCTTCAGCACCAGCAGAGCCGGTTCTGGTTTCTGTTGATTTAGCCTCCCATGTTTCTTTTCTGATAGGAGCTGCCCATCCGGTCGCCTCAGTCGATGCGTCCAATAATTGTAACATACTGGGACCACCGATGTTTGTGTTGACAACATTGAGTAGCGATATACTAAACCCAAGACCGTTCAAACTTGTCATGTAAGTTCCGGCAAGGATTCTGACTGGCTTGATATTGTAGGACTTTTCGAGCTGACCTACAACTTCTGCCGTAACACCTCCCAGCTCTAATACGCTAACACCACCAAGATTGTTGACTAGAAGAACGACTTCATTCGAGTTCACGTTCAAGAATGCTCGATCCTTGTCCTTCGAATCCAACAATTGCGTAAGCATTCTTTTGACAAGTTCGGGCAGATCAACCTTAGCCCTACCGCTACCGGGCTCATTGTGAATTCCCATTCCAATCTCGAGTTCCTCATAAGCCAGGCTCTCCTCGGAATTTGGATTGGGTGGTGCTCGACCGGGAACATGAACATGGTCTAGGGACGCTCCCACACTGACGATGTTGTCTGCTGTTAATTTTCCAACCTTATAAACGTTCTCCAAACTAGCACCCATTGCTGCCAACGCTCCTGTGATCTTATGTACTAGTACTGTGCCTGCAATACCTCTTCTGCCAACCTTTCCAGCCTTCTCACGACCAACTCCCACATCATCTCCAACTACCAGCATCTCAACTTTCAACCCCGCAGCCTTCGCTTTCTCAACCGCCATACCGAAATTCAGCACATCTCCTGTATAATTCATAACCGTAACCAAGATTCCTTTTTCGGTATCAACTCTTGACATTACACATCTGCGAATTTGCTCGGCGCTTGGCGAGGCAAATATAGTACCTGCAACAGATGCTGCGAGCAATCCTTCACCCACGAAAGCTCCGAAACTGGGCTCATGTCCACTACCTCCACCAGATATTATAGACACCTGAGATTCATGGCCTGGTCGTCTGTAGATGATTTTGTTTTCTTCGTCGAGAGCGACGGAGGGGTTGGTGAGGGTGAGAGCATGGAGAGCGGAGTTCACCAGGAGAGTGGGATCATGGATGAAATGTTTTGCTGCCATTGTTTATATTGTGATTGAGGATGACAATTGAGGGGTGCTTGCCAGAGTTTGTTTTGATTCGAGAGGGATAGAAGAGGGGGTAAAGAATAGCTATGTATTATAATGGAAAGCTGTAAAGTAGATATAGGAAAGCTATCGAGTGAAGACTAGGTATAAGACATACAGCAGGAAACGGGAAGAAGAAATATAAGAAATATAAGAAATTTGAAGAAAAGCAAAGAATAGGAGGGGCGAATGAAGCTAGCCAAGACGGATTAAATATGCATATCTTTCATCATACCACTACAATGTTTACACAAGTTGGCTCGTTGGTTCAAAAGATCAACAATTGGAAGCGGGGCATTCAAGGAAATGCGGGGTGGAAAGCAAGGATCAGCGACAGGCACGTATCTTCTCGTGGGGGCCCAATCCGGCAAAACCGTGGGGGTACCAAAATCTTTTTCCTAACCACTGAAGATCCTCAATTTCCATAAGCTCAATTCAAGCTTCATCCACCGCTGCGATCTCTTGTGAGCTTATCGTTCCCGTGCACTCCGAGACAACAAACACACCGCAATGTCACAAATCTCACTCGTGGCCGTGCCAGGCCAACTTCTCGGCTCTAGTAGCGAATATCTGCCAGGTCCAGGTACACATATCCATTCCTCGAATCTCTACGCCTCCATCCTTGGACCCATCAAAACAGTAGCACCGCCCAAACCTAGCTATCCCCAAAAGCGAGCCACGAAGATTATACCTGCGGCACCCGCGCCTCTCTCTACTATCTCTATTGAAAGAGCTACACTCACTGGAGACAAGGCGGAGATTTTACCTGAAGTAAATAGTACAGTTTTGTGTCGCGTTACAAGAATTACTCCACGACAGGCAACAGTTGCGATATTGGTTGTAGGCGAAACGGTTTTGGAGGGCGAATGGCAGGGCTTGATTAGAGTACAAGACGTGAGGGCTACGGAGAAGGATAAGGTCAAGATTTTTGAGAGTTTTAGACCAGGGGATATTGTGAGGGCTGTGGTGGTGAGTTTTCTTCTCGAGGTTTAGATGTCATTTAGGAGAACTATGTACTAATGGTTTAACGATGGCAGATCTCATTAGGTGATCAATCGAATTATTACCTCAGTACGGCGAAAAATGAGTTGGGAGTTATCATGGCGACGAGTGAGGCTGGCAATGCAATGTATCCGGTCAGTTGGAAGGAATACAAGGATCCGGAAACGGGAGCCAGTGAGAGCAGAAAAGTTGCCAAACCATTCTAGATTGTGGGAGGGGAGCAACAGGTCATTTGACACCTGTTGTATGTATAAGCATAGCGTATGGCGTCGAGGCGTTCGTGGACATAAGGATATAAGGATATACCAATTCACACAAAGTTTATGATCTGGTATTTTCTATTGCTACCTGGTGCCTGGTGCTCACATTTTGTCGAGTCAAGAGAATTGTACACATGAATTTGCTAGGCAGTAAATAGGTAGGCCCAAAGAAGATTTATTAGCAGCTGGAGCCACTTCTCAAATTTTGGTGGATTTTGTTCTTCACGCATATCTCAAGTGAGATCAACATGAACGTTTCTATCATTATTTCTTGTGTAGTCCCTTGCGCCCAAAAAAGAATCATTGAACAGCCATAATCATGTGCACATTGATTCCAAGAGGAAGTCTAGACCACAGGTTATTTCTGGAAATCAATGTTAAACGCATTATCCGGATATCTCATACCGAAAATCTCTATTCCGCGAACGACTTTTTGTTTCTTTCCTTTGAGGTGTTGAGTTTTGTGCATATCCGATGACCGGAAAACTTCCTTGGCTATATCCGGATGGAGAGGCGCGGCATGGTGCACTGTCGTATTTCAAGTCGTATTCATGTTTACATATCCGTATTCTTATCTTCATCCCTAAATCTAGGTCTTGCTTATTACGATTTCATTCTTAGCTTAGAACGTACTCATACTATTTGGTCGAACCCCCTCCCGTTATCCAATGTACACAACCGATATCCCAGGTGCCAGAGTAGCATTCATCCACCGTCCCTGCCACATTTGGAGAAAATCTTGAATGGTGATAGCGTATATTGTTATTGAACTTTATGAGGTATCATGGGTTTCTGTATTGAAGAGCTGTATGAACGCAATTGTATTATCACGATTGTAAATTCTCCTGGTTTGGCAATATATCCTAGGTTTCCAAATGTGATATTTGCTGCCGAGTTAGATATTCATGGGTATGCATCCGAAGATGATGCGATACATAAAACGCCGATTGTATCAACAATAAAAGTGGGTACCTAAGATATAAAAACACCATTACGTTGAAATATGCCTGCTAAGTAGACACATTATTTTGAAATACATATAGGCAATAGATGAAATTTGAAGAATTCGTAGGTATGCAACAAACCCATTTTATGATGAAAAGTTTCGCTCGGGTGCATTAGTCAAAAGTCCTGCTAGAGAGGAGGCTTGCTCTCGTTGTCCCTACTTTACACTCCCTGATTCATTGACCTATACTACCTCGAAATAATCATCGCCTTTAAGACCAAGTCTTCGGCCCAAAAGTTTCTCCTTCGGCAAGTACTTTTCGAACTGCGGTTCCCTGCATATCCATTGTCTCGAATACATCTACATTTCCAAACCACTATATTTGTCAGAATTTGAAGCAGGAGAATCCGCTGGCTGTGTTTATGGTTTCAAAGGAGAAGTCAGGACTTACTTGAGGTGGTCTAGCGTTAGTAAGTTCTAACGTGAAGAAAACGAGAAGAGTGCAGAGGATTAGACCGGTGTCCAGAGCGGCGGAAGTTACGTAGTTCTATCCACCAATTATCAGTCCATATTCATGATTGAAATCCTCTAATTCATACCACATATCTAGAAACCCCCAAGATACAACAGAAAGAAAACATACATAACCTTCCCACCATCCCCTCCACCTTCTCCTAATCCAATACTGGAACACAAATCCCACCAATCCCCAACACAAATAATTATATCCAGTAGGCGGAGGTATCAGTTGTAAACCTCCAAACATGACAGGTACAATAAGATATTTGAACAATGAGCGAGGGTACGCTCGCGTTGAAAAGTATGTCAATATTGGAAGCAAAGCACCGATAAGAAAATAGTAGAGTAAGGGCTGATAAAGAGACTCTGGGGCGGAAAATATACGCGAGGGGCCGATGACGCCCCAAATTATACTGGTGGTGAAGTACATTGAGGGGCCTGGGCAGGTGTAGGAATCTTTTTGGATGCGGGTACAGATTCTGAGATGGGGATGTTAGGAGTGTGCTTGCTATTTCTAGGCTTGGATATGGAGGAAAATACTGACTCGGGAATATGAGAAAGTGCCTAATTCATGACGCAATCTGTACAATAGATGACCAGAAAGCAGCTACACACTGGGCGAAAAACATTGTTCGGGGGGGAACTTTGAGGTAATGACCTAGTTTTAAGTCTTGCAGGAAGAACTGGGCTTGTGTCATTGTTATGTAGCCTATGATACTTATCAATAACCAGATAGAACGGGAATCCGAATATGAGTTTTGCATCATATACTTGCCCAAAAGGAGATAGAGACTAACCGTAAGCTTTAAATAACATCAAAGCCACAGGATGACCAGGCAACATGTATCCAATGACAAACTCAGTGAAGACATTAAGTCCGATTTGGATATTGGTCGTTGCAAATATGATATCGACAGGTACAGTCCAGATAATAGGGATCGCAACACAAACAATGAAAGCCCACCATGGAAAATGCGTATCCCAGACGAGGATGACCACGAAGGATAGGGCGAGCATGATGACTCCGAGAGTGATGTACCGCCTATTTGTGAATTTATTAGTTTCATGGATATTTAATCGAGAATGGGAAGTATAGTAATGATGAAAGAGCAAGATACCAATCCGGTGCATCTTTGTACTTCTTCATGAGTTTCATGTGAATGTCATCATCCTGATCTCGAGCAAGTTTCCATTGTCTCCAAATGGTTTTTCCCTCGTATCTGCGTATATTATTAGGCGATTAGTCTCCCAAAACTCCCGCTTCAACTCAATTCATCGCTTAAATTTAATAGACTCACAAAATTGTATGGACAATAACACTACCAATAGCTGCAAAGGAGAATCCTACAGCAACAAAGTTTAATCAACTCCATCCAATTTCCAGAAGCACATCAGAACAGAAACTTACCGTAATTTAGCGCAAACCCGGTCGACAAAAACACCGGCGAGTACTTCTTGTACAATTCCTCACCGAATTCATAGTTTGCAGTGAGGATTCGACTGACATTATATGGTTTCGCCATATTATCGTAGCTGTGCGAATCGCTCATGGGAAGGTAATCCGCATACCATGTTCCTGTATAGTGAACACCTAGCGAGCTGATGATGACGAAGATGAAAAGCCCGATAAGCATATTCGCGATGGCGTACCAGGGACTTCGACATATTAGCATGGGATGAGACTTTTATGATATGTTCGACACTGTAGATACGAGTTTATATCGCTTAAGAAGGTGTTTACTTACGGTATTAAAGGCGAATACAAATATCCACTCACAACAGTCCAATCGAAGGTAATAGGAATTAACCCCAGACCCGTCACACCACCAAATAACTGATTGACAACTGGATTTTTCGGTGCGATCCAGCATGCAAATGTAAAGTATGAAAGGATTCGAAAGATCCAGCCAGGAAAGAAATACCATACGAATGAACCTAGAGTATTGAATAAATACCTTCTATCTACTGAGTTCAATAAGAGATACAAACATACTACTCATAATATACATAAACCATCTGTATTTCGATATACTCCGACCATTTGTTTTTGCTGGATCGGAGGGACTATGATCATGTAGACTACAACCCATATTCAGGGGAAAGAGTTAGCAAGCATCCTCAATCACAAATTCTCGTCCTCAAATACTTATCTCCGCTTTCCCAACTTGCAATAACAAAGTATACTCTTACACAACTGAAAAGGGAGAGTGACAACTTACGCATACATTAACGCGCAATTGACCAAATCACTTGGCCAAATCATCGCCGCAGGCCAAACCAACCACCTCCTACAAATATCCGCCAATCCAAACCCTAACATTTGATTCGTAACCGCAAAGAGGAGTTGAAACGCCCAGCTATACAGACATCTTAATATTAGCGCATCTTCAATTTTCCTTCTTACATCCTATGAACCATAACCCCCAAGAAAATGAAACAGAACAAGATTAACTCAAATCAACGAAACCTATCCAAAACTCTGACCATAAAACACCTGCTGCAAAATGAGTAGATCAGTAGCATATATCGACGCGCCCGCATACCCCGCATTTGCCATCACAACCACAATTGTATGTTCCTTCATATTCCACTTCCCCTCTTTCAACTGCACATTCCACCTCCGAGCCCCGCAAAAGGGGACGCGAATCTTCCAGCTCCAGTCTGGCACTACGAGATCCCAGCCTTTGCCTAGGGGCCAGGCGATTAGTTGCACGCACTGTTGTGTAGGATCTGCATCAGTATATTTACTTCTTATGCAACTCAAATTTTCGAGCCACGAGAGGAAGCTATCAAGTGGTAAGAAAGACTCGATGAGGAATTCAAAGAGGAGAACTCACAACAGTAGTAATTGCGATACTTGGACTCCTCAAACTGAATAGACAGTTGATCCCCCCTCCCAATGTCGTAAGCGCCAACCCAATACACCAAGCTCGAATCGTGTTACATGGAAGCGATTCATCATCTATGTTAGCGCTTTAGCATCGCTTTTTACCTTCAGTTATAAACTTCAAAATGCACTTCATGGCTCAAATTCAGATTTGTTTCTGTCAAATCTACTTCCTTCAAGCTCAAGCATGGAGATAGGAATATGAATAGATACCCACCTGTATTACGCACCGCGGCACGAACTTGTGAATACGGTGAGTTCAACGAGTCATCAATGGGTATTTCCGAGTCTTTCTCAGGATCGAGATATGGGGAAAGAGATGTACGGGATGGGATTGATTGGATGGGGAACGAATCAGGTAGATTAGGATCGAGCGAGTGACGAGGCGAGGGAAGAATAAGGGGAACCGGGAGACTAGTCGTGGCTGAGTGAGATTTTTCATCGTGAGATGAGCCCTCATTTGGCGTCGAGCGTTCATCTACTTCATTTTTCACCTTGGTTGTCTTGGATTTCGAACGATGCGTAAGAAATGAGAACAGCATACTGTCTATGCCGGTACGAACATGAAAATAGTATCATGAAATCGCAGTCTGCAAGATTTAACATTGTGAGATTGTGCAATTTACTGTATATCAACACTCTCACACTAGGATTCCGTAGCACATATAACGCAGTTACAAGAGAGAATGCGGGCGTTGACGAAAATGTTCATGATATTCTCCAAGCCGAGCTTGGCTCGCTATCCACTCTACTTTGAGCAGAGTAGCATCTCTGCATTTAATATCTGATTCAGTACATTGTCTTGGGAGGAGGTATAACATCATCAGAAAGGAAGGAAGTTGTGCGATTTTTGTTGATTAACAGTGCGCCATGAGGATCTTCAGAGCTGAAAATCTGAGACAGTGTGACACGGGTATTTTGGAAATTGTGTTGCTTGTTCGACACATGATCACACGGGATTAATAAGTGTTACCCATGCACGTCATTCGTTATCAGATGGAGGTGCATGATCTCGGGAATCGAAAGATATGTATTTAGCCGTCATTCCAAGGATTGGGGGCCACGTTATACACAGACATTGAAGATTATTTCGTGATTTGAAATCATGAAACTGTTATATGACATCTGGAAAATTATGAATGATTGCACAAGCATGATTGATAATGAAGAAGAGAAACTCGTAGAAAAGAACGCAGCCCCGTCTCAGTTCTTCTCCTAGCCTTATAACTCCACGGACATGTGCGATATCTTAGAAGTCCTGGATCAGCATAGCAACATCGCCCAGTACTTGAGCAGATTTTCCAAAGGCAAATATCTCACCCGTGTCGGCGATATGGCAAAATGAGGCGAACAATGAACATATATCGTGATCAATGCATGAATGATTTGCACTCATTGAGAGCCTCGCGTCTCCGAGCTTCCGGGTTTCATCCCGCAGGAGGACCCGCCTTGGTACCTTGAGTCTCATATGCACCCCATCATCAATCTTTTCAACGGACTTACTTATCTGCATTTGGAGTTCACAGAACTTACCTAAGTAGTGATATTATTCCTCAGTTCGTACAGCTTGATATGTCGACAAAATCACTTAATTCCGTCTTTATGCAACCGTTCACCGAAGTTCCTCCCTGAAGGGATGCAGTCAGCTTATATTACATGGGTTTCATAGATGCCTTGATTGCCTCGCTAAGTACCAATAGCAAGGCTGCTACAACGCTAATTTTCCCAGGATCTTTCATACGAAAACGCCCCCAATGATCTGGCCATCAGTAGGCCTAAGTTTTGATCAGGGTCCTGATAAGATTGATAACAGCCATGATGTAATAATTTCACGTACTAAATATGCTGTGAACGATAGAATTAAAGGATTGCCTGGTTGACCGCTATGCTGTTATCATATGAGAATTTGATATTAAATCCTATTGATATCGGTGAAGAGTGAGATTACACGAAGAACGTCAGCCGTTAAAATGTGACAATCATGAAATTGAACGAGTCTGATGGATGCACCTTTAAGAAATGCAATGTAACTCGACGGGATTAAGAGAGCGAAAGGACCCTGCAGAACCCATCCATTACATTGTTGCCTCGCCGCAAAAGCGACGTTTTATCTAAAGTCCACTCGCCCGGAATCAAATATAGAACTCCCGGAAACCTTTCGGTGCAGGATATTTCTGCAACTTCAAGAAGCGGTCTGTGATGAACCCCCTTGCAGTTGTTATATTTGAATCTCAATAAGCAATGGCTATGTTTATGAAATAGTTTATGCAATGCCGTTAAGATCTATGGATGCATGCAGCAAACTTGTGGCGTGGTCCGAAACGTGGGGCTTGAACTATTTTCTTGTGACTATGACGGCGCACGACGAGAGACTTCACGATATAATTTGCTTGACATGGATTAAATGAGCACATAATCATGTCGCTTCTGAAACTTGAAAGAAATGACATCTCGGTCAACAGTTGATTCATTATGCCGAGATGGTATCTTGATCAGCCTTATTATGCCTTTTCTTACATCCAGTGCTGATCACTTGATCATCACTGAGATAGCCTTATCAAGTTGTTACCCCGCATCGTCCACATCAATAAACAATGAAAAAGCCACGCGACGGGGAGATTCAGCACCAAATGGGTCATGGGGCTCTGTTAACAACGATGCAGCCTTCTAGACTATACCGCCGCAAGATTGTACTTAAATCTAACAAAGCCGAATATCAAGGCAAAACGCAAAAACGACATCGACTCTTAGTATATTCGGGGCACACTTGAATGATTACAGGAATATAAAACCATTCCTGAATGTTCTCAAGAGAGGGAATATGAGACGCCCTGGTTTGACGCTAGCTTTGAACTTCTAGTCAGATCGATTCCTGCAAGTAAGATTCCGATTGTCACCTTCCTTCACTCTGTGGAAAACAAGTTGAGAGATAATCTCATATGCAGCTTCCATTTTCAGTAAAGAACGCAAGGAATTCAATTGGTGCGCTTCTTGTGCAGCGATGAATAACGCGACAAGGCTGAATGTTGAAGTAAGCCTTCATCCGATTATGGAAAGTTCTTTGAGAAGTTGTTTAGCCTAAATGTTCTAGAATTGTTCCGTAAATTGTAGCATCGATTGTCTAGGTACGCCTTCTTTCAAGATGATAAATAGAGAGAATAGAAACTTTCAGAAAGCCTTCAAAATTCTTATGTCGACGAGGTTCTGAAATCTAAAGAGGAAGCCTCACGTATCCAAGAATGTGTAAAAGACGAGAGCGTAGAAATTAGTTGAGAGAAGGCTGGATCGACGCCTTCCAAGCTAGCTACCGTAATGCATTAAAATGCTGCTTTCCAGTAAGATGAAAATGCACTCCAGCTAGCGAAATTTGAATGAAACCATCATTTTCTTATTCCTGCTAAGAAATTCGGGACGTAGTAAAGTCCTGCTGGTGGTGGTGGTCAGAGATATATTATCTTAATTGATGCGTCGTAGATCTCGCAGTGCCTGTGACTCTTGAAGATAGTTCTGATTAGCCAGAAGTAACGGTATACTTACCGTAATGACTAGAAGATCGAAGATGCGATTAAGTTTGCCTAAGCCGTACCGCAACAAAAAGTCTGCTGATTAGGCCATTGAGCTATTTTATAGTGTACATACACCACGCCAGTTCGGGGTTAATAGATAAATAGGCTAGAATCCGAGGTGTCAACGCCATCCAACAGAACCAAACATATAACCTTTGAGTAAAGACTTAGAGTGGTCTAATGCAACTCGAGTCGTGTTTGACAGCTATAATTGCTGCCTACCACACAGAAGAAATTTTGGTAGAGAATGCGGTGGCACGTCTCTAACTATAAATTGAGCCAATGTATGTGACATGACAGATTTGGTAACGCACTCGGTTAAGCATACATTACCCGAATCGGCCGATTCAACCGAAAAGTATCGAATTTGCCTCGTCCGTTGGTACTCCGGTCTGAAATTCGCATTTTGTGTCCCGCGATTTGGGTTAGATTATCGTAAGGATGGCGCTGCTATGGGTGCTATTGTGTCGTCCTACATCCTTCGTAGTTAAATTCGAAGCTGCTTTATTAGGGTTCATGCTGCATAGGGTTGCTTGCTGAATAAATCAGTAAAGCAATTCTTCGGAGAGCACAAAATTTGTTCACAGCAACTCACTCAAGATGTCTTCACCAAATTTCAAAACCTATCAATATATGCGTAGATTCATCAATCGTGATTCTCATGTCTGCATTACAATTGAAATATGAGAAACCAGCCTCGACAGCCAGAGTCAAGAAGGCTGAAAAGAAGAATCGAAAAAGGAAATAAACGTATGATATGTTTGTGCTCATATGAGCGTGAAGATGATCATATCAACCTGCTTCGATATTTGGATCATGAAAGAAACCAAATTCCCAATCTTGACCAAGCAAAAGACCACATGTTATTTGAATGTCTGAAAGCTTGTACCACGGCCGCCATTCACAAAATTGTCCGCGAAGACCACTCTCTGGGCACTGATATCTTCCTTGTATCTCAGAAAGTGTATTGAATGACTGCCTATGAAGTGATCTGCACATTTCATCAGGCTTAATGTACTTCTGAAGTTTACGTTGCTGTAGCACATACCAATAGCTTGGTCGAGTACTATCATCATCAACCTTTTATAGTGACCTCCCCAGTACTGTAGCTTGCTTGGATTCTGATTAATATCCTAGCTTCTTTGAGTTGCTCAATCTTTTGGAGATATATCTGTCACAGTCATCGTGGCCGACGACATTTCTTCTTCGGCATCAAGATTAGTTTCTACGGTTGACCAAGTTTCTGTTCTTGGAAGGCTATCATTAGTAGTTGCTGAAGCAAAAGTCATGGATCGAGATTTTGAAAATTCCAACTCTGCATCACTACCCTGGACAGAAAATTCTGGCTTGGAACTATCGAATGTAATCCATGGGCCAGCATCAGCAATGCGACAAGCTAGCCACAGTATGCGTTCTTTTCTTTGCTCGAGCATAGATGCAAGCTCGTGATATTTCTCTTCTTCATCAGTTTTCTCATTGAGAAACCATTTTTCGGGGAAGTATTTTTCTGACCATAATAAACCGCGCATTCCGTAGTCTTCCGGGAAAGGCCGGACGTCATCCTTCTCTGGTAGTGGGAACTTATCATCCTCAATACGGCTGAGGGACTTGTAAGATTTGAGTAACGTATTGAGCATGATTGCTAGAGATTGCCATGGAAACGCCGGTGCCAAAAGATCCATTGCGCCCGAAAATCGAGACATGCGAAACAAGAAAACAAGAGAAACATGAATAAATGGAAGAACATTCGGATCGCCTATTCTTTGTAGTACAATCTCCAATGTTGAATAACTGAGGTTCTGTGCGTGTCTGAATGCTATCAAAGAAGGAGAAGATTCATCTCGAGACTCATCCATATCAATATCGGCTTCTTTAGCTGAGGAAGACGCGATAGCTTTTATAAGAGGATTTTCTTTAGACGCGAAACCTAGCATTGCAACGTTGTTGGAGATAGCAATGTGGCAGCCTTGTTCCATGAACTTTTTGGTTACCCGACCAATTTGGCTATCTAGTAATGCGAGGAATTCTTGTACTGCGGGTTCAAACCTCTCTATGGCCCTGTTTGTGAATAAATGTCCATGGGCTCGAATGAATGCAGCATCTAAAGGCGGCAATCGATATTGGCCATGCCCATTCTCAGCATGAAGGACAGGGTCGAAGAGTGTAAGTATCGATTCTCGTGCAGAGGTGAAGGGCACTACAACACACAAAGATTTTGCATAGTAATACAATTGTTGGAGAGCATTTGGGCGTGCTAGGATAGCAAGATGGTGATATAGCCTACCAGTCGTTGGGGCTTTATCGGAAGCCTTTGAATACCAATGACGTGCGACACCGGTCCAAACCTCTCTATCCCTGATATCGTCATCCTCAATGGCCATTCTGTATCTTCCTAGATCTCCCAAGCACTCAATCCAAGTATCTTCGAAAGCTGGTACCGTTTCGTATAACAATGCCATCATCGAATATGCTAAATATATGAATGCAAGCATGTGGTCAAGCGAGGCAGGTAGCCGATGTCTGAGCAATTCTAAGAACGAATGGATACCATGTCGCCACATTCTAGCAGGCATAGCATATTTTGATGCCAATCTACGTAAAGCAGGACTTGCAGATGGATGTTGAGAGGCCAGAAAAAAGTCATGATGCTCGTGAAGCAAAGTGCGATGTAATGCAATGAGAGCTTGCCACTGCTCATTGTTAAGCCTTGGTGGCGTGGGAGGATCACCCTGCACAAGCGTGGCTTGCTTATTATCAACCTCGATACATTTGGCTTCAACCATTACAAGTCCAGCATATATGCCTTTAACCTCTGCTACAAGTTGCTCTTGAGAGATGGGCCTTGTCTCTGGCTGAAGAATAATATTATAATCTTCACTTTGAGGTCTTGATTCAATTTCTGGCACCGTCCTATTGGGTAAGATTGCAGACGGGGTATTAGCTGGAGCATGATGTTGGTGTTGTTGCTGCTGATGTTGGCTCGTATGTGGTGCTGATCGAGATGTACTTTGGGGTGTAGATGGTTTCGCGGTTCTTCGATTAGCCGGTCTGTACGCTTGAGCTCGAGATCTTGAGGCTTGAATCGAAGCAATGTTGGAAGGATCAAAGGATGACCTTGTGAATGGGGAGTCTTGATCGGGAGTCCACAGTTGTCCCTTGGTAGCTTGTCGTCGAGTCTCCGTGTCTTCTGCAGAGATTGGTCCAGAAGTCGGTCGAGCTAAAGATCTTCGCGGTGGGGGTGAAGTTGAGTGTTCTCGAAATGGCGATGCTGAACCTGCCGATATACCATCTCCGACGGCAGCTCTTTTGCGTGGCTGATCTGTTGTGGTTTCTTCATCCTCCATCGTATTATCCTCATTTGATCCCAAGTTCAAAGCCTGAAGACCGGAAAGCGATCGAATTGGTTGAGGTGAATTTAGGGGTCTCTTAGACTGTAAGTGTGGAGGTGGTACGCCTGCTTGAGCAGTAGACGCCTCATTATTTGAGGGCTTCCGGGATGGAGCATCGTCTTTCGTTGGTCTTTGTGCTTTAAGTCAGCCTTACTTTTCCTTTTTATTGGTAGGACACAGCCTTGCATGATCTGCCCCCCACAGATATAGTTATTGTCAGCGAATCTACTGACCTCTTCAATGCACTGTTACTCTCATAAGATTTTCGAAATTGATCCAATGCATCTTGATCTGATGGAATCTTGTCCTGATGCTCTTTTTCTGCATGGTTCCACAAGTCTGTTTCGGAATGAGATATCTTGCGCTCCGGACAATATATGCAGGCCCAGGTTTTAGTTGTTTTCGTCTCTCTGCGCTGGTGTTGTATCCATAGATCGCTTACATCTGCTTTTGGTTTGTGCATCTCTGAATTCTTGTTAGTACCATTTCGAGATTGATGTCGTCGAGACATGGTTAGAATTTGAGGGGGGTTCTGAGTGATTTCAACATGACAGTGACATTGACATTGACGTACCGGGCTGGATTCGGAGTTGGGCAATGGTCTGATAAGTAATTTCATATGTGCCTCGATTTTAAGGTTTCGAAGTGACAAATACATACAGTAGCAGGAGTGAATCAATTGGATATAAGACTCATTGGGTGTCCAAAATACACAGCAATAGAATAGAGTCGAATTGGCTTCTTGATGAAAGTAAAGATATCTCAGCCCTTTGAGTGTCCATCATATAAATATATAGGTATGAAGGGTTTATTGCGTGAGGCTCCGTTAAAATGAGCAATATTAGGCAAATGCGAACCATTTGCAACCCATTTTGCAAACCATGCTTCTCGGTGAGAGTCTTCCCCCACTCAGAATTCCAGGTTACTTAAAACACTCACCGAGCTATAGAGATGTGATCACTGCTTGTTAGTCCTGGGTACCAATGTCACTCGTAGAATTTGACATAGATTAAGATTTATGAATATGAACATGAGATACGACATCTTACAGACTGAATATAGAGATGTCTAGATATGGTATGTATATCTACTAGAAGTACAAGTAATCCGTCTTGGATTTATTCGTCTTTCTATTTTGCTGGTTTGTGGCACGAACATCATTCCCTCAATACCTACCTACCTACCTAAGGCTGTTGCTATCTTATTAATACCTATGTAACCCAATTTTGCTTAACTCGGACACAGTCTGTCTATTTGTTGCATATGGACCGTCAAGGTACTAAAGGTAGGTAGGTAATCTCAATCGAGCTTGCTCATCTAAACAGCTTTCAGCCTGTCCCCATATTGTGTCAAGTCTATTCAGAAATCTCTTCAGCCCTCAGTCTTGGATATATCATCCTTTCTTCGTAAGGCTAAGCTCCTTTTCTGTTGTCATATTAGTTCGCCTCTGTTGTCCAAACCATTGACCTTGTAGTCTAAACTCCCATATACTCAAGTTGACATAAGACCTCTATGCTAGGTAGATAACTGCCCAAGGGCTCACTTCTCCTTCCTTCATTATCAGACCTTGCCTTTACACATTTCACATTCATGTTCTCGCAATCTGTTCATCAATTTACGACTTACGAGCATAAATACAGTAAGAAATCCGCCAGCGGGCTACTTGTTGTACATACTGTAGCGGGGTACTCTAGTAAGATGCTCAGCACTGCGATTATCTCTTGACGCTACACGACTGCTGTCCGACTTCTCGTTTATGCCCCTTTCCAACAACATCATCTCACATCTCATCCTCAAGATTGGAACCAACTCGTTGGATTTCAAAATAGTCGTTTCTCACGAAAACATAGGAATTTGACTCACTCTGATTACCCACCTACAGTTGGATTGTCGTAGTCGAGAAGGATTCAGGTGATTAGGAACGGTCGCCTTGATGGCGGAGTATGTTTCAAGCCAAGGTCATTTTTTCCATTGAAAACTACGAATTTGTCACTTTGGGAACCCGTAGGAATAGACCATTAATTTCTTAACGCTGTCCATATATGGCGTTCAGGAATCCAGGCGCATTATGACACAGTTCGGGAAGAGTCTTTGCCGAGTCCTTGCCTGGTGACTAGGTACATCACTCAGGTCAAAACTCGATCGTTAAAGCACTTACCAGGTGACCAGCTTTTCTGAGACTTATTAAGGAACTTTAAAATTGTTATTTTGTCTGCCTTCAATCCTCCATTACATGTGAGCCTCTGTGAGCAAGTGCAGCACAGATCGCTAAAAAGACAGTGATCGAAGTTAGTGAATAAAGTCTGTTTTCACCGCTCTGAGAATCTGAGAATTTGACTCTTTGACGCCTTATTATTTCGCGCTGAAAATCCATTAAGGTAGTTGTGGAAGCGTCGCAGCTCAGTGTCGGAATTTCAGATATCTTTGATATATCATGCCGAAATGAAGGTCAGCATCAATGCTATGTTTTCTTATTCGGAATATGTAAGGCATGCTCCTCATCCTTAGATCCCTGGACTATCATGATTGTCTGCAGAATTGCTTCTTTTCCTGGGGAATATCAGATTGCAGGGCTTAAGCTGAACCTCAGATCTAATCGGACAAAAGTATGTCAGTTGATTGGGAGCCTTGCCGTGATTCATGCGCGACTCACTCGCCATTTTTAGAAACAGCAAAATGGACGGTCCAGAGTATACGCCCGAAGTGAATTCTCTCAGATGGTAATTTTGTCGAGCTTCATAAGCTGCCTACGAAGATATTGAGGCTGGGTTAAAGACGCGAATACTTTGCATTGGCATGTTCTCAGCCACCAACTCACGCAAGTGTTTGACAAAGCCCTATTTGAGACGCAAACGTTTCATGATAGTGAAACTTAGAAGTGGGTTTAAGAATATTACCTCAGAGATTGCTCTTCTTTCTTTGTCGCGACAAACGCGCAGGCCCGGAATGCACATCTATGCACGTTGGTCCGTTCGCACACCGCGCATACCCATTTTTACCAGAATTACATTCGTGGTACAAGTGCGATTTCATGTTTTTGACTGACATCCGTATAACTTGCGCATCAGGTCAGCAATCACGGGAGCATGCTTGTTGCCACAATTCCGTTTGTAAGCTCCCTTCTTTACGTCCGATTTCCACTGGTGACTTTCTAGAGCATAAGCGTTGTTTGCCTTACAGTAGAAAGGTGACTTTCGCTGTATAATATCGTGACGGTGGCATGGTAAACATCGCCTGTTTTCGCGGACTTAAGCGCATCGGTGAAACCCGGAGGAGGGGAGTAATCCTTCTGTCTAGAATTGCATGATAAATCCTTTATCACTCGTTTTCTTCCGCTCGCTTCCCGCTCCTTGGGAATCAATAACCCGTCTATGCTCGCTGCAAATTCGAAGCACCTTTGCGAAAATTTGTCCGCCAAGCGAAGTGGAAATTCTAGTTTTGTGTATCGCAGGCAAATCATGAATCTACCAAACTGGAGTTCTAACGTTCCCGTGCAACCGAATTACTGGTGGCTCATGCAGGGGTGGCGGCCAATTACATAGCTTTGAAATTAATCCCTGCTATCGGTAACCCCGTCTTTGAGGCTGTGAGATGGCGAACAATTTTTAGGATATCAAATTTTTGGAAATCCATCTATCTATAGATCAATTGATTTGTTTCGATGAGACCAAATATGATATTGGCAAGATCGCTGTTCCGCTTCTACGCTGGCAACCAAGTTCCGCTGGGCTTGCTTGGGATACATGTGGCGTTCTCGCCACTTTGCAATGCTCCCCTGAGAAGAAAACTTTTCAGCACATTGGTCTCCAAAGCATATTGCAATTCGTAACGACTATTCGATCCACGAATACGTCTTTAATTATAATGTTGCCCCTTGGTCTCGACTCTATGCTCCCTCTTGGTTTGTCATACTGCATCCCCGATCAGCTAACTAACTGAAAGAAGTTGTCTTAATCTGGAGTTTGATTACCACCCAGGGAAAGCCCAGGCAACGCTCAGCGCGCAACCCCCTGTTCTGCTAAGGTTTGTTCTGGACTAATCATGTTCTCAAGAATGACTGACTGACGATCACCAATTCTTGGATCGCTATATTACGCTCCCTGGAGATCAACAGTGAGAATGTCATCTTTGATAGCCTTTTGGTGACTGGGACCCAGTAATTTTGCTATGATTAGCTTTGCCATCCAATAGAGGCTTAATTGGGGTGCAACCAGAAATCGCATTTGTTTCAAGCACGATCAGTCACAGCCAATATATCACTTTACCAGACACGGTGAGTATCGATAATGGATCATCGTACCGTCCGGGCTTGCTAGAATATGTCTAGCTTGTTTGCCTTTGCGATACCATCGCATCGGGATGCCTGTTGCGCGTCGAGGTGCTCTTTGTAGCTGACGATACTGGAGACGAGATAGGCAACAGCGTAGCTTGGGATGGTGTAAAAATCGAAAGCCCTGAAGACCACGTTTACCCCTCCCCCGTCATCGTGGGAATTCTCTCGGTGTTACTGTCTTGGCCGATCTTTGAGCCTCCTAACGAATGGTCACTTGCTGACCTGGTAGGGAATTACAATGAGTCATTCAGGCAAGCTGCTGAATATACATTCCCTGGGGTCCACAACGCGGAAGTCTCCATCAGTGCTTTCAATATGACTTTCGAAATGAGGCTCTGTGTCGGAGCTTGTGGAGCAAGTAGGCATTGTATGGTTGCATGGACGATAGTAGATAGATATGAAATGCATTCATCCGTATATGCGGCTGTAAAATTTCAAAATTCATGCTTTGCGATTCTTTCGACAATTCAGGCTGAAGATCCTCTGGTCAGGAACTGTCTTGCCTCTTGGGATATTGAATTCTTCTGGCTGGCATTTTAGATTAAGTCGAAATTTTGAGTCCACTCAGAAATTCACTCATCCATGTTCAATACTTGGTCGATTATTGAGTTTCAAGACTCAGGCTCATGCTTTGTAACACCGCTGGTGGTGACGAAGAGCCTGAGATTGCAGGTTTTTGATTTGCTGCCCTGGATGCACAAAATTCCCAATTCTACACTGTCGGATCGGGTTGATACGGCTTCGATGACGTCTGCTGTTTCATTTGCACTGATAGTATGTTCTTCCTGCTACCAGCTGATGCCCGATTGGTATCATAGAATTTGCCTCGCGTTGTGTTAAAACACCTCTTCCGATATTGCATTCTTGTGACCGCGCCCAATGTGATAAATGATAGAAAGGGTAGTTCATGCCCCGTCAAGCTGGAAATTACCATAAAACTACCGGTAATCCCACTGAGGGTATAGATTGTGGGGAGTCAAGAGTCTTCCTCTTGAAGAAAACTCTGCGATGAGATCTTTCTCAAGATAGGTTTGGTCTAAATATATCGAAGCGGCCTATAATGTTGTCATACATAAACATAGCTATAACCCGCCATCATTCCGCTACCCGGGACGTGGGGTTAAGCACAGCATCATTCTGATCCTACCGCACCAGATTTCGGGTCCGTCTAGTGGCCATAGTTCATGCATCTTATGGTTTTGAGTACTAACAGCAGCACGAAGGAAAATCCGCACAACATAAGAAGTGCACTACAGTATGGCATTACACGCGCGTTGAACCAAAATGTTGCAAGTTAAACCACACTGGAGATAGACTGCGTTGTACTAGGTAGGACAGTGTCTCCCTAGACTTACTAAAATCAAGACATGACACTCAGAAATGCCTCATGTAACCCCAAATTTCTGCGTTTGAACATTTATCAAAGTGAATTGCTATTACTGGTGCCATGTAGATATGCTATCAATCCGACACATGCCGTACAGTATTAGGTTGGATAAATATGTTGCAGAACGTTAAACCAGCCCGACATGTACAAAATTGGAGTTCATGCGTTGAACTACAATGTTGTACTTGTGCATACATAACATCAACGGCAGTAATTGTCGATTGTGGATTCAAGTGGCCGAAGACAGAATGAACGTGGATCGTGTGTGATGTCGCGAGAACGAACAGATGGGGGGTTTCTCGTAATTCCAACCCCATGGATTTATTTGATATCGTGTTTGTACGCCCAAAGCCGACGCCCAAAAATGCTTCACCGATCACGTGGTTATTTCATTCGTAGAGGGAAATTTGTGTTATCACGTGATTCTATCAAGAACATTTCTTCATGGGTTTGTTTAGATCTACAACAAAATTAAGTGTTATCATGTACTGACGTCCACACATCCACGCTTCTGGTCAATCGTTTGAATGCTTGCGGACTCCCCATCAAGTGTTCTAATCTTTCCGAGCCTACTGTGGTACTTACTCAAGTTCCAGCTCGTGATGGGGGATGTTAACTACCTCACAGCGATCCCAAGCTCTTCAGCGCAATCAATGGATATGGCAGGATAGAACAAATACAACAGTCGTTCACCAAAAATATTATTTCTGCACCTCGTCACAGTTGATGAGTTGTAAAATCAATTTGCATTTCATTGCTTCTTTGATACATTCATGATTTGATATGGGGTATGAGACAAGGCTGTTGTTAACTTGGAAGCTCGTTTCCCCTATTCTTGCCGTGAATGGATCGAGAATCAATTTCCCTTTTGGTATAATTGTTATTCAATTTGTTCAATAAGGTGAATGTAAATCTGTGTTCTCAACTGAACTACGATATTTGTGACTCTTCTTGGGATCGTATCATGGCGGCAGACATCATTGATATTTTCTAGGCTGGAAAGGGTAAAATTGAAATACAGCGTTCTGACACGAAGTACCTTACAATACTTATCACGACTACACAATGTCGGTTATATCAAATGCATTTACTGTGCTTCCTCGCACTCCGATATCTGCTGGACACTGGAATAACTATGAGATTCTCCACTCCTTCAGCTTTGGGCATTGAGTTGCTTACGTTGAGTAGGTACGTTGGGTACGAAGGCATGCCCGAAAAGTTTATGATTATAGAAAGTATCACGGATTGGATTGAGACTTGATGTCGAATGTTTCGAAGTTTAGCATACGGCAATCAAGCTATGGTATTATCGCTTGGTGATTGGGGTACAATCAACAATCAGCATATTGATATAAGGTTAAGAATTCTTCATTCAAATGTTTTGGCAAAGTTGGTCAGATTATGCAGTTGTGTACCTGATGGTTTTGCATTCATGTCTTTCAATATTAGGGTATTGGGCATGTTCTTGCGAACTTAGGATCAGGGTCTCTTTGGGACGGCCCCATAGAATTGTACTGGGAACATCCTCTCCTGAGTATACTTCCGGGTACGTTGATTGAATGATTTATACCCAAATCCTTCTGCGATTTATGATCTGTTCGGAGCCTCATCGGGTGGTTGCCTTTTTTTTAAGAGTGTCCAGTGATTGGCAATTTTGCCCGAGAAGACCACAATAATTCATTTTTGGGCTGAAGCCAGCGAGGAGGGGTCTTATAGTTGAAAGCTTTTTGAAATCTACCAACGCAATTTAGGTGCATGCCTGCAGGCTTTCCTGTTCTATTTTGCATTGTGGCTAGCTGTTCCTGCATTGTTGTCTCGCCCAGTCTCTCACCGCTAGTCTGTGTCGCTTTCAGATCAATGATTGCTCCATATTGGGTCTCGGTATATAACCTAAAGTCATGCATTTGATATTCGCCTTAAACATGGACGTGGCTGTCGAATTTACACGTGCGACGATACAATTGCACTATCCTCAGCCATCGCAATGCTGGGTCAGGCTCCCCGAGTTGTGAACAGCCTGCAATCGATATCTGCGTTCTCGGTGAGTTAGTAGGGCGTCGATTAGCATAGCATTACCGTCTCGAGATTAACAATTGCTACCTAGATAGGAGAGATCGTAGGCTTCGGCCCGAGCCTCTCGAGCCGCGGCATACCAGACTTCCGATAAATTTGAAGACTATCTTGCCCGAATTTGACATAGGATATTTCTTAAATCATGAATTTATGAGTTGATAGCAGGGCGTTCGTACGCCTCATCCTATGTCTATTCCGCATCACGAGAAAATAGTATGCACGTGATCTACGTATGGTCGATCATTTCAAATGAAGGTTAAGATCAAGCGCTGCATTGGGAACATAATGCATTTCAGGGCGCCAAATTTATCCGTCATCATCCAGTCGTTCGCGCAGTCACATGTGAGCATAATTGCGGTTCAAGGCGAGGTTGCATCTGACACAACCCAGCCGAACAAGAAGCAGGTAAAATTAAGGGCGTCACCCAAAACGTTATGAATTATAGAAAGAAGTAGCGTGCAGTGAGGCAACCAATTTTATGATGCTAAAATGTTATTGAAAGTTAGACGTGTTATCTTTTATCTCTATCCCTGCTGCATTGCCCCAGCCCCCATTGGAGTACAAATAGGACGTATGATTGCTAGAATCCTATGGCAGTATTTCTTTTTTTTATTAAAATAGGGCATCAAATTGCGACTCTGACAAGCACATAAATGGTGGATAGTACGCCAAACACTTTGGCATTGTTTGTGGCTAATGATAGGCTCCTGCTCGCTTCGACAGAGAGGTGATTAGAGCCTTGGTTTCAAGAGTGATGCTGGAACTCAGGTTCACTCGGCAAATTGCTGCCTCATTATTGCAGGCTAGTAGACATAACCAAGTCGAATGTAAACAATACTTTTCTACCAGCACAATAGTATCGTGTATGCTGGTGCAAAGTACATAGTAGCATGACTTGTGCATATATCAATGTCACACACCAGTACTGTGTTTTAAAAGCAATTTTATGCTAAAAAGCGGGGTGTAGACCCAGGCTTCTTTTGTTTATCGACGCCGATTGGCATGGCTAAGGTAAAAGAAGCAGGCAGATAACACAACATCAACTTCTAGGATAATGATGTGCAGGTAGTGCGAATCGGATCAGCGCATAAGAATCGGCCCTCTTCAGAAGTCTGTATGTACCCGATAAAAAGGGATATCGGTGAATTCATTCGGAAAGTTTTGCATGAAACCAGGCAGAGGCCTTGTGTCAAGATGGACTGGCCGCCAACAGTTGCTATGTGGATGATTCTCAGCCCATCGATATAACTTTCTGGAAGAATCTAGTGGCTATTAATCTGGCTAGATGATGCGTCGCTAGGCAGATCCTTACGCCTGGTTTTTTTCCGAGCCTCGAAGGATGAAAGATCTGACCAGAAGCAAGTCATAACAGTCATGAGCACTGATTGGCACACCAAGTCGGTGTGTAGGCTTCAGGAGAAAAATGCTTCCTGCTCGGCTATAACTCAAAAAGATGAGGCTAGAAGCTGAATAGCTAGCTTTCACTATGGCATCATGATGCGATCCTCGATCTGATCTTTTCTCTTTTTCTCGTGTACCGCCGGGGAGGGACTCAGTCGGGCTCTTTCTCGGACGTTCTTGGAGTAACTAAATGCTGCTGGCTTTCTCGCGCGTTATCGGCCGATGTCGCAAGGCCAGTATCTTTTCTGCTCCGCAACAAATAGGTACAAAAGAAGTTGCTTGATAAAATAGATTGCTCCGATATCCTAGCACAATATGGTGCAGTAGAAGCAATTTTCGGTCGTGATTGAATGAAACTTGATTTGTGCTTAGTGAGGACAAGTTGTTGTTCTCCCGAGTCTGTTGAAATGAAATGTTGCTGGAGAGTGCTAACGTGATAGATCTAAACAGGCATCTAACTCATTCGATGCTGACCAGGTTTGTTTAGACTCCATTGCTTGTCTTTTTTCAAGCCTTAATTAGGATATCATAGGATGAATTTACCCAGATTGATACCTCACCAGTATAGAACTTCTATGACAAGACTCTCGAGTCACTCATTGATGGTGAACATTGAGACTGATGAGTAACACTTGGACTTTGGACAAGTGCCATGAGACAAGAATACATCACACTCTGG